ACACACTTCATGTAGGCGGCAGATACAGACCTGTAATTTGTTTGTATTAAAACTCTCTAGCGCAGAAATCATGACTGTGACTGAGAGAGGTGAGGTGTACAGAATGCTAATTTAGAGCTTGCCTCTGAATGTGAACTTTCCCTCTGAAATGGACCCGACAAACACCTACCACTTTATACGTCCAACACACATGGAAAGCATACAGAAATACTTTTGTCTGCATAGAAAAGAGAGGTCCTGTGACCCCCCCTCATTTGACTCTCTTTCCAGTAGACACTTCAGACACAGATGCAAGATATTTATGGGTCCAGATGTGCCTATGTCTATATGCAGCGTTCACATGTAATGCTGATCTTTGTAACCGTTTCTATTCATATGCTACGGCTCCATCTGGATCTCTGTATCATGAACACATGTCAGGTAAATCCAGACTGGGTAACAGAATACAGGCACAGATGATGAGCCTTCACATGGAGCTAACATGCCGTTTGCCTGCTCCTTCATGCATGGTCAGCAGTGGGCAGGATCATGTAGACGGACAAGGCTTTCCAAGAGGAAAAAAAAAACATCTCGCCGTATATATCAGGTTACACCAAACCTGTGGAGTTTGTAGTGAAATTGCAACAATAAAAATCCTTTTGACACTCAACCACTTGGTTATCTTTGATTTGGCTTCTTGTGCGCTAAATCTTGGGACAGATGAGTAATGGGAAACAGGTTTTGAACCAGTGAAACCTTTGGGACCAGGTCACCAGAGGTTGAAGAGGAAGAGGTCACTTTACCCCAGGAGTTGATGGAGGGAAACGGTCAGGAGGCGGGGGCAACCTGAAACACAAGGAGTCGGTTTTCAATTAGGTCACAGCTTAAAATGTCAAAAGGATTTATGGCTAATTTGCCATTTTGCCTAAATATGAAACTCCTCATCTATCTTTCCATTAAAGGTTCAAAAGACATCCCAGAAAGTTAACCTCTCTATCAAACGCGAATCCTCTGAATCCTCATCTATTACCATTTATCGGCCGGAGGAACACACGTTCCTCTGTTTGTTCTTCTCTGATAACGCAGAGGGTGAAGCGTGATGTTTATACAACCTCCTAATAGCATTACTGGGACCACTGGGAAACACTCAGAAACACAGAGGATCCCTAACTGTATTTATCTTGGCCACTTTGAAAAAACATTCACCTTTCATGAAGAAGTAAAAGCGATAACGCGCCCACTCTGATTAGGAATAAAAACAGAAGCATTTTTCTGTCATGTGGAAAATAGTAGGTTTGATGTGAAAACAGAAACAGCTGAAACCTTAATGTGCTTATTTTTTCTCTCTTTTGTCTGTTTTATCAGAATAACATAATAAAGTATTTTACACATACAATACGCTTTGCCCCATGGCGTGTATTGAAGTCAGTAAGAGTAGACACAATTAAACTGCAAATCCCATCAGCTTTAGAATCATATTATATTTATTTATTTATTTCATTTTATTCATATACATACTAATGTTATTTAACAAAATCAATTCTAAAATGTTAATTTATATAATTACAATCCAAGTAATTGAAGGTCATACAAACAGGTTAATATTACATCAACATCACCTGCCTACTTTGATGCTGGATGCAATCTGGATTTAATAAAGTAAATCATACAATTAGGATAACGTTTAGATATCCTTTTTGTAGAGAAAAACTTCCATGGGAACCATTTTCTCCATATATAATACCAAAGACAAGACACATAACAAAGAATGAAAAGGTTACAGACTAAACTATGTATTTTTTTTCTTGTCTAACTTAAGATGAAGCAGGTTGTTCTTAAAAATGAGCAGCAGGGAAGTCTCCCGTCTTACACCGTTTAGCTCAGTTCACCAGCTTATTTATTCAGTTGGAGACAAAAACAATTGTCTTAAAGCATGACAAGCTATTCTTCACAATGAGAAGAACTGAAAACACACATTAAAAAAAATATATATAGTTTTTTTTACAAGGATTTAGCATTACTTCATTGGATCAAGAATAACTAGTGTCATTCAGGGTGTTCTAGCTATAACTTAGCTACCTTAGTTGTTGTATTGCAAAAGCAGTATTTAAAAACAAAAGTATGGATTAATAGCAAAGTGGATTTAAAAAGGGCTTAAATACCAATGAGGCCTAAAAACAACAATAAATCACAGAGAAGTTAAACTAGTTCTTTTCAAAGTGTTGCTAGTGGAAAAGACTGGATGTTTAATAAAATAAAAATACAGCCATCCTTGTATGATCAAGAGTCAAATACAGAAAGTTGGACCAACCAAAGTCACGTTTGGCTGCGATGCGGTGGATCACAGCCAAACGTGACTCTGATTACTGCAAACAGATTGGGTATCATGTTACTGCCTCAAAGAACCTGATGATTTCTTTAGCTCAGCTCAGCTCGCGTGGGAGGAGAGACAAGACTGACTTATTCTCTCTGGAGCTCGAATGCCTGTCTGACTGTGACTTGGGGTGTTTTTGCCGTTTGTTTACTCATCCGTTGCACCACTTTGTGTTAAGTATGTGCAACTTGTCTGGCTTTTAAGCCTCTGGACGGTAGTTTTAATTCCAAGAAAATCCAAGGATGAATTTCCCGTAATACCTTTATGAATATCTTTATTATTGTGATGTTGTGTGTGCTTCCTTTGTGCACACTTTTGATGTGCACAAAGGAAGCAACCAAGTCAACCAAAAGGCCACTTTGCTTTATTCTTTTTAGAGTCTTAAGTACTGTTGCATTTCCTCTCACTGGACAGATTCAGAAATACAGTAAATTTTGCAGGACAATGTGCTTGGCTTGAAGCAGAGAGGAGGTGGATTTGCTGAATGAGGCGGTACACACTGCCGAGTAATCAAGCTGTCAGCTGAGTGTGCGTCGGATCGCTGGCTTCCAGCCCCATTTCTGGGATTTCTGAGGAGAAGAGCGCGGTACGGAGGAGTCTGGGAGCAGAGCACATGAGGTTGAGCCATGGTTTCCTGTGTGCTTAATGTCCAGCTCAGGGCCAGCGCCTGTTTCCTGTGTGTGATGGGTGCCAGGCCCAGACCCCCAGCACACACACGCACGCACACGCACACACACGCACACACACACACACAATATGACAGGTCAAGCAGCTGCTGTGTGCATCAGCAGACCTTCACAGACTTTATAGATATAAACAGACTCACAGAGTTGCAAAGTTTACAAAATGTAGCTCTTGAGAGGCTCACATTTCTTTTCTCCCCTTTTCCTCTCTCTGTGTTTATCTTCAATGAGAACCCCAGACATCTGCCTGCAGGGCAACTAACTTTATATAAATACTGTGAGATTATTATGTCAAGATAAGTTATCAGCTTTTTATAATATTAAGTCCCTTACTTATTTATGTGAAGCAATCAGTTTGTCTCTAAAGACAGTGTCTTATTTCTAACGGCTACTGAAAAATAATGGTTTCTTTCTTCTTATTTCCCTAAATGTCACATTTTATCTCGAAATTGGCACAGTAGATTTAGTCAATAGCCAGAAAGAAGGAGTACATTTGCCGAGATTTATAAGAAGAAAAAAAAAGATACTGCTGTAGCTGGAGTTAAACACTATCTGTCAAATGGGAAATGTTTTGGTTCCACTTGATTCTTGTAACACATGTCAAGGTGTCCTGGACCGAAAGCCTAAGCGCCCCCTGTTGAAACAAATCTACAAATTCACGACTTCATGCGATTGTTAAAATATAGAGGAGCTGAGAAGCTGTTTTTTTTTAGCTTCTTGCTGTAGCTTCCCTTAGTTTCCCTGACCTCAATTTTCAGTTTGTTTTTGATCTCAGCCTTAAAGCTTGACAGGAAGATACTAAAAATCCAAATCATACAACTGACATTTAGAAAAATGATTAATTTTGGTAATACCAGCTGATCTTCAACAGTAAATACAGTTTAGCTTCAGTTTATGTTTTGTATTTGATCTTCACGTGTACTACTAATACCTCACTTTTCAGCTCACTAATGCTTCACATGTTCATAACAATGCATGTCTTCGAGAAAAGTACAGAATCTAGCATCAGAAAACCATACTGATTTTCTGCAAAGGCATAAAAATAAACCCTGAGAGTCACGTTGCTCTGCCGCCATGCGGAAGTAGAGCAAACCTTCCACAACAAACATTATAACAAACAAATGTGTTATAATGGCAGAGGTAGTGGAACTCAACGCGTTAGAACGTTGTGTTTTTGCTACACACTCATGTACAGTAGGTGGCGGTATACACCTTAAAGTTGCTTGCGAGTTACCATAATAGAAAAAGAGAAGAAGAACTCCATACGTTATAAGATTTTTTTTTGAGTCATTTATGCCTTATCAGCCAACACTGAGGCAACGATGAAAGGCAAAAAAAAAAAATAAAAAAATAAAAATAAAAATAAAAAAATCTCCAACCAGTCCTCCATCAGGCCTGTAAGGTTATTTGCGGGAAGCAACGGAGAAATCAACGTTAAAGACCAAGTCTTTCACAGCCAGAGGAAGAATGAGGGGTACAAAGTCTCATTAAGTGTGAAAGCTGTGTCGGACGCATTTTGCACGAACAAAGCGGGTGAGTAATGACATAAATAATACTGGCTTGTGAAAATTTTCCTTCAGGAAAATGCTTAAAAAGAAACAGTAGCATTAAAAGGCGCTTAAATGTGAATACCACAGTTACTCCAGCACAATGTTGTCATGCTGCCGTACTTATTGATCTTTGATTTGACTGTCTATCAGTGTCGTTATTACAAATAATGGGATGTTTACTATCAGTTACCTTGGTGCAGATGAACAACGTGGTAGCTGCCATCAATCACAGCTTCATTCAACTGAGGTCGGCTGCAGGCCTTGAACCATTTCTTGCGTTATTCCAGACTTCGTTTGGGGTTTGGAAATGTAATAAAATTGTATTTCGCTGTTTACACGCTTTGGGTAACAACTGTCGGGATTGCGTGTTGCACACTGACAGCGTTGGACCATGATTTCCTCTTATTTTTCTCAAAATCTCTATGACCGTCGCATCAATGATGAACCCCGGCAATGTTGAAGAGGCTCAGCTCCTCCAGATGAGGGGCGTGTACTGCAAAGAGCAACCTTAGATTGGTCAGTTGCTGACAAAAACCTGAGGATGATTGACAAGTAGCCTCACGTCAATTTATAGATATATGTAATTAACTCTTTCACCCATTAAAAATATCGATTCAAGTCACTTTGCAAATGTGTTTTTGAAAGTATTTAAACTTGCGTGAAGCTATCAGACCTGGACAAACCTCACTCAGCCTAAAAAAAGACAGTCAATATAAACTGCGACAGATGAAGAGGCGGGAAGTGAAAGAGAAGATAAAGACAGCATAGAGAATGGAAGGAGGGGATAAGCATGACTGCAGTGGTTTATTCACCTGCGACAAGCTCAGACACAGACCCTGAAACTGTGACGTGGTGAAAGACTCTTCCTGGAATCTCCAAGTGGAAGAACTGCATGACTAAGATGATTCCTGCATTCATTTTCACAGCTGTGAGGTTCAATTATTGGGACATGTCTTGCAACATCTCAAGAAAAATTGTTTCCAGTGAAGTTTCACTTGCCTCTTATTACAGAAAAGTAAGTTCAGCATAAATTCAAGTACAGTACATAAAATAAATAGAACTCATGTAGTTCTAACGACCTTAGAGTTTCTAATTGGGCATGACAAAATTTATTGTTAGAACAACATAAACTCTCTATTGTTGCAACCTTTCGTCCGTGGTTTGTGAGAAATGATTTCTGGCAACCACCCATTTACCAGGCAAATTAACAAAAAGATCTGTTCATTCAATGTTATTGGATAAAATATTGGAAAGCGAAACAAAGTGAAACAACCAACCAACATCATTAACTTTTGGACCATTTATATCTACTGGATCTTTTGTCATGGATGGACGGCTGACAGGGATTGCATGTGTGTCCGTGCACGAGCGTTTTCCTGGAAGCATTGAAAGGGCTGCATGGGTAAGTCTGTTATTAGGTATAAATACACCAGGCTTGACTCCATTCAAAAGGGATAAAAAACACCTCTCTCCCATTACTAGGAGCCTGAGAGCCTTTTTAATTTTCTTCCTCAAGTGTGCAGTGTTGACAGACTGACTCATTTTGTCAGCGAACTGAATGAAAACACCTCTGGAATATTTTCTGGTTCGTACAAAGTGATGAACAAAAGCACAGCAGCAGCTTAATAACCAGCCCAGTGCCTTCGGCGTGCAGCACAATGATGCATCAACAGCTCTTTAACTGAATATCACAAATTCATTAGGATAGGCCTCAGCAAGGACTTACTCATCCACACCTTGTTTTTTTTTTTTGCTCAGCTTGCTGGCAGGTTTTAACTTGAAGATGGCAAAAGCCTAGAGGGTGGAGACCAGAAATCTGTGGGTGGATGGATTACTAATTTGGTAGCAAACAACAACACTCGCACACCGAGCTTAACATAAAGACCAACTGAGTTTTCTGTTGGTTTAAAACAAAACGGCAAGGTTGAAGAACAAAAGGTTGACACTCAGCTTTTGAGTAACCTAATTCTTAGTGAGTAAGCTCAACTTTGACATTTACTGAAAGGATTTTCACCTGCACGCTTTGCATCACCAACACGTTCTGCTTCCCATTTGTTAAATATTT